GTTGGTGATACCCTCCACCTAGAGGTTTTTGTCTGTCCAGCTATTTTGACCTTGGTATCTGTTTCATAAAGCTAGCCTTTACAGTAAGGCCATCGAAGATCTGGCTACCTCTCTACTCAGGTCTTTCTAAATGAACTTTTTGTTACCCAATTTCAATGGATTTACATGGCCACAAGGACTTATTTAGTGTTTGCACTATCTATTGTCAGTTTGCATTTCTTCATATAACTACAACCTTGTCTCAAAGGACAATGTCATGTGACCTGTTACACAAATGTCCCATAACCTATCAGTCATGCTGGTGTGACTACCATTACAGGTATCCTAACCCAATCATTAGTAACAGTTGTCATAATACGAATATTACATAGGTGATTATCTAAATTTTTGCTGTCAATGGGATTTGAACATCCAACCTACCACTTGGAGGGTTGACAACCTGATCACTTCACTAGGTCACCATACCCCCAGAACCAAGAGTTATAATAAAGCAACAAATTCAGTATTAAATATAAAAAATTCTTGCATTATTTATTTGCTTTTTATATATAGTATATCAAAAAAATGTTATAATTACTGTTATTAAATAGAGTTGTATAGCAAAGCATCAAAATAATAAAGTGTAAAATATAAGATAAAGTGGAGTATTATGATGCAAGTAGATAATATAACACATTTGTAGCTTTTGATGATATACTATGATACACTGATCAGGATTAAACTATTTTAGTACTATTTGATTCATCTTATTAAGATGAATCAAATGGTATTAAATTTGTTTTATTTAAAGTACAAGAAAACAAGATATAATTAAAAAAAAAAATTTATTAATATTTTAGTTATCAGGTTTAAAATTTTAATCTGATATAAATCTAATATAATTAATTTAGTTAGTACAATACAATAATTATCATTATATAATACTAATTTAATTAATTTTTTGATGAAAATCTAATATCAAGATTAAGATTAATTTTATACAAATTGTTTTTATATGAATTATAACAATTTTGATAAAATTTTTGAAAATTAGAATTGCATTCTTCAATTTTAAAAAACAACTCAGCAAATTTGTATATTTTTAATTCTTTTATGATAAATCAATACATATTTACTTTATCAAAATTACTATTACTTGTGGCTTCATTAAATTCTTTATCTATTAAAAGCATATAATTCATCTTCATTAGATATTTAAAATAATAAATAACATCAAAACAAATAATAAAATCTTTAATTCAATTGTATTAACTAATGTGAGTATAATAATCATTAATTGACTCAATAATTATGTCTGTAATGATAAGACCTAAAAAATATTGTATAATGTTTCATAACTGCTTATAAAGAAATAAAAGCATATAATGCATATGTTCTTTAAACTTAGCCACATTATATGTGTTCTGTATTAACTTATTGCAAAAGTTTAAAATTAGATTATTTGCTTCTTTATTCTGTAAATCCAAATAGTACAACATATTACAAATTTTTAATGTTTTGAAGAGAGCTTTAATTAAAGTTTATTCGATTTATATTAAAAAACATCATTAATTAAAGTTTATTTAATTTATATTAAAAAACATTATTTGTTTAAAATTACAAATTTGATCAACAATCAATACAATTTGCTAACCTTACAAGTTTAGGTAGATTTAACTTAAATTTCATAATTTTATTTGATTTTGTTAATATTTTATTGTTTAAATATACAATCTTAATTATGTTTTAAAAATTACTATTGTATAGAACAAAAACAATCATGATCATAACTGCAAACAATTATGACTATGATTATGAATGCATACAATTATGAATATAATTATGATTGCAGACAATTGCAACCATAATTATACTCACAGACAATCATTATACAAATAAGCTAAGTTGCTATAATTTTGTTCAAAAAAAAATAAAAAATAAGTTTTTCAAAAAAATACAAAAACATAATATAAACTCTAATTTTTTAAAATCCAAAAAAGTTACTTGAGATACATATATAAGAGTTATTGAGTTAGCTTTTAAAACACTTACTAATTCTAAACCATCTAGTATACAAGTAGCTGCATTAAGTTTTGATATTGCAGAAGCAACTCTAAGGTATGCAAAAAAAAAATTGTTTGTCTAACTACACTAGTTCCATGATGATCTTGAGTAGTTATGAAAAAAAGCAATTAGTAGACTATTACAAAAATATGCAAAGTCTAGAATTTGGTCTTACAAGGTTAGAAATAAACATCTACATAATGAGTATCATAAAGAGTAATAATTATAAACATCTTTTTAAAGATGATGGTTCTGGCAAGACCTGTTGAGCATATTTTATAAAAGACTATCCCAATCTATCTTTTCAAATTCTTTAAGTCTTATTAGTGGTATGTGCTCAAAGAATAAATCTAATTATTATTAAAGATTATTTTGACAAATTATATAAAATAATCTAAAATAATTTACTTACCTCAGACTGTATTTAGAACATATATAAAATCAGTTTCATTATAACTCCTAAGATTCAAAAAGTTCTTACAGAAAAAGATGCCCATTAAGTTTATAAGGTTGCATATAGTAACTTTCACAATTATATTTTAGTTGTACTAACAATTTTAACTGCTGATAATTATATTTTTTTATTAATTATATACAAGAGTGTTCATGCAATTTCTAGTTTGTTAAATAGTGTTTTATCTGGTATAATTATTGGCTTTACTAACTTAGAATATATGTGTAAAGAACTCTTCTAAATGTATATTGAACATTTTATAAGTTCTATTCCTTCTTGTTATCCTGTTTTTTTAATACTTAATGGTCACAGAAGCCATATAAATTATATGAGTATTAATTTTATTATGAAAATGAAATTTTACTATATGTATTACTACCTTATACAACATATATTTTTTAGTTATTAGAACTTTTTTCTACCAAACTTAAAAATAAAAATAGTAAAAATTGTAATAAACTTAATCATATAATTGGTAAATTAGTAATTAAGCACATATTTGTTAAAATACTTGGTCTTGCATTTATCAAAACTTATACTCTATAACAATAACTAATGCTTTTAGAACTACAGATATTTGATCTTTTAATCCTAATAACATTAACTCTCATCATCTCAATTCTTTTTTAATTATTAAATAAATTGAAATCTTATTTTCATTTTTTTAACAAACTAATTATTTTCTATATTGTCTTTTTCTATATCATTTTTTTCTATATTATTTTTTTCTATATCATCTTCATTTGCATTATTTTTTTCTATACTATCTTCCTCTATACCATCTTTTTCTACATTGTTTTCTTTAAACTACTTTACACACACTAGAGTTACTAAAGAAAATGAATTGTTAGAATTAGAAATTCATAATTTAAAAAAAGAAAACATGCTACTTAAAGAAAAACTTGAGACATTTAAAAATCCTGATACCTGTCCATTAAAACAACTTTTAAGTATTCTAATTCTCGAGTTTCAACAAAGATCAAGAAGGAGTTCAATTAGCTAAAAAAATAAAAAAACTTTGCTGTTTGCTTGACTTCTTACTAATGAAGATTCTCTAAATATTTTAAAAGAAACAGATAAGTTAACAAAGAGTAAAACAGAAAATACAAAAAAAGAAAAAAGGAAGCAACCCAGAAACAAGCTAATCAGGAAGCTGAAAAAAAAGACAAAAGTGAGTGAAAAAAAGAATGGTTACATAAAAAAAAAAGATGATTATGCATAGTTATGCTATACTATACTTATCTGTATTGTGAGCCTCGAAATTCGTCCTACCATTATCACGGTTACCTGTAATCGATCATCGCATGTAGGACCCATCACCTACCCAAGTAATTAGTAACATGAAAAGTAAGATTTATCTTACTTTTCTTACTTTTATTACTTTTGTTACATTTATTACATTTATTACTTCGGGT